TGTCTGAGACAAAGGGTTGGGGACTTCCCACGCCTGTGGCACCCCTGCCCCGTGGTGTTGAGCCCTCCCCACTCCAGTGTGGCTCACAGATCAGCCGGGGAGAGATGCCCTGGGTCCAGGACCTGCATCTGAGCTCACCAGCAGCACCCACGTGGCCACGGTCTCCGGGCATCTGGGCACCTTCACATTTGGCGGCATGACCCACGGGCCACTTAAGGCCCCACTTCCTGCCCGACCCGGCTTCCTCCAACCAAAAGAGCAGCTACATCACCAATGACGCCTGCGCCAGGCACCCCGAAGATGTCCTCGATGCCAGGCAAGTGGGTGGGCAACGAGAGGAACCCAGGAGGCAGCCCCACCACACCCCAGCCCCATCTGATGTCAGCCAATGTCAGCCCTCCCCCACCCATCTCCCAGAAAATCCTTCTGTTCTGAGCGCGCCTCCGTGGGGATGGACTCCATGGTGTATCTGGTGGCGAGTGTTAGTGGGAGGCTGGCCACACGCCAGGCAAGGCCAGAGAATGCCCCGTTGTCCCCCCACCCCCTCCCACATGCTCAGTGTCAGCAGTACCAGGCCTCCATAGAGCTTGTGTGCGCCCCTGGAGCTGGGCGGGCAAGAATGGGGAGGGCCTATCTCCTCTTAAGGCTCATTCAGCATCCCTGTCCTGGAACAGCAACTTCCAGAACTCTCCGTCTCCCCCCTCTCTGCAGCTGGAGAGGGCCCGTGCCAGGCTGGGTTCATGCCCGGGGCTGGGCTCTGCCAGGGCAGGGGGGAGGGAAACCAGACCCCGTGGAGGTGGAGGTCTAAGGGAGCCTCTGGAAAGGAGTCAGTGACCCACGGGCCCAGAGGACAAAGCAAGCACAGACTTGGGTGGTGGCATCAGATCGCACACATCGGAGTCCGCCCAGAACACCCGGGCAACGTGGTGGGCAGACACAATGGCATAGAGAGAGGCCAGGCCAAGGAGCACGTCACAGTCACACGGCTCACACCAGCTACTGGTCACACCGGCAACATTTTCCTCCTGAAAGACAGCGCATTCAACTGCCAGCCACTTCTTCTTTTTTCTTTTTTTAAAGACCAAGTAACAAAGTAACTACCGCTGTCGTGATAAACCATCAGGGGCTCTGGAGCTGGAATGTATGGACTTTATTCCCAGCCTCCACTGTGTGTGAGATACTCAACCTCCTAGGGCCTCCATTTCCGCATCTGTAAAATGGGCATGCAGACAGCACCTGCCTCCTAGGGTTGTGGTTTCTTGAGCTCAAACATAAACGAGCTGACACACTCAAAGCACTTCGAACAAGATCTGGTTGAAACATCACTATTATCACTAATAATAGACAAAACGGACTCCATCCCCCCCGCCCCGAGGTGGATCGGGGGTTGGGGTGCATGCCAGCAATGCCTCGAGGCTCACAGGGTGGCAATGTGGGCCCCACATGGTGGACAGATCACACACAACTAGAAGGCAGGCCTTTCCCAGGTTTTGCAGACCTCAGAAAGGGTGGTCGATTTAGTGCACAGAAAGTTCTAGGTCTCAGGGAATTCTTCACCTCGTGAGTATTCCCCAAGTGCTGATGCCTGATTTCTCCCTGAAATGCCCAACAGCCACTTCCCTGTTCTTCCTGCTCATTCCGAGGAAGTAAATTAACCTGGCGTTTTAAAATGGGATTTTTGTTTTCTGTTTTCCATTTCAATATCGGGAGCCCTATCCCTGCTCTTTGAGGGCTCCCTGATGAGGCCAACCTGGTTCAATTGGAGATGCCACACGGACAAGAGGTGGGAGTACCCGGCCACAGCATGAGCCTCCTGGTAGGGTCTCACCTGACCGCATGGGAAACCCTCTATTTCTCCCAACACTCGAGTGTAGTTAATAGCATAGCTCTCTTATGGTGATGGCTTCGGGGGGCCAGAGCCGATAGCCTCTTTGGATGCAGAAATCCATTTCCATACAAAACTGGCAAGATAGAACACCCTGCCTCACACCATGGCTGCCCAGGGTCAGACAGGCAGGTGGGTGCAAAAATGCAGCCCCAGGGTGGAGTCCCTCTGCATACCCACTCCTGGGGCTTCAAGATGCGGGCTGCCTGCCCCCCAGCTCTATCGGCAGGCCGGCACGTGGAGACAAAAAACCTGGTTCTTTTTTTTTTTTTTTAAAGATTTTATTTACTTATTTGACAGAGAGAGACACAGCGAGAGAGGGAACACAAGCAGGGGGAGTGGGAGAGGGAGAAGCAGGCTTCCCGCTGAGCAGGGAGCCCGATGTGGGGCTCAATCCCAGGACCCTGGGATCATGACCTGAGCCGAAGGCAGACGCTTAACGACGGAACCACCCAGGCACCCCAAAAAACCTGGTTCTTAACGGCCCACCATCCAGCCCGTTTTCTTGTCCCTGGCTCTATTCAAGGGCTACATCCGGATCTTGGGACTCCTGGCACCGCCCATATAATCTGGTCTCCGGATTCCCACAGGGAGTCTTGATAGCTTTCTGGGTGGTAGGTGATACCATGCTACCAGGGAGGGTCTGTTTGCCTGGAGGCCATGGTACACCTGACTTTTACCTCCAGGGAAGGAAGCCCAGGAGAGGCCAGACCGCAGAGGGGCAGCCATGGGGGACAGATGACATCAGCCCACCCCAACCCCCTCCCCACTTCCTCCCTGCAGGCTCTCTGCATCTCTGGCCTCTTTACTTCTCTGGCATTGCCAGGTCCCAGCAGCTCCAGGTGCTAGGAGGCCACCTTTGCTCTCCATTCTCTCCCCCCTTTGCCCTCCCTCTGCTCTCCCGAAGACCACCAGGGAACCCAAGGGATGCCCTGATGCAGAGAGAGGTCAAGGGCACAAGAGGGCCGTACTCTCTAGAGACTGTCCCTTCCGAGGTGGGCTAATCCAGGAAGCCCTGCTCTCTGGGGCTCAGTCCATAACCCAGATCAACCCTGCCCTGGTGGGGTGACACAGGAAACCCCATTTTTCTGGGACTGAGCCCCAAATCAGCCCCTCCCAGCAGAGCCACTTCCATTGGTATGGTTTTTTTTTTTAATGACTCTTGATATGTTAACAGAAATTATGCCAACATGGAGTTTATGAATTTTTGATACATATTAACATGGGCCAGTGAACCTCCATGTCTCAGGGATCAATTATTAACAACACACTAGGTCATAACCTCAAAGGTCTAAATCGGGGTTTCTCTACTTTTGGCCTTACTGACATTTGGCGTTTTGATAATTCTTTGCCTTGTAGGGTGTTGAGCAGCATCCCTGGGCTCCACCCACTTGATGCCAGTAGCATTCCCCAGCTTGTAACAAACAGAAATGTCTCCAGACACTGTGAAGTGTCCCCTGAGGGGCACGTCAGCCCCAGCTGAGATCCCCTGGGTTACAGAATCCCACTGACCCCCCCACCAAAAGACACTGCCTTCATAATCATCTGACCTACTGAGGTCCTAGGATGCTGCACACATTTAAATACACGTCTGAGTGGGGCGGTTAGAGGAAGGGACTCATGGACCCTGGGGGGTCACCCTAGTTTATACCATATAACAGCTGTCTAACCTATCAGAGATCTATTCTGGGATCTAGTGTGAGCTAGGGGGTCTAAATTTTTGCCCACTTGGCAGCACAAGGTTTCCCAGACCTCGGCATTAACGCCATTGGTGCCAGATCATTCTTGGGGCCCCTGAGGGATCGTCCTGTGCACTGCACAATGTTTGGCAACATTCACCCACTAGATGCCAGTAGCGAGCACACACACCCTCTCCAGGCATGACATTGCCCAGTGTCCCCTGGGAGGGCAGGATCACCCCCTGTTGAGAACCACTGGGTCAAAACCAGAAGCCACTGGTTTTGGTCCCGGCCACATAGCCAACCCGACTGATCCCACCCCCACCCCACGACAGCTGGAAACCACGGGGCATGCAGAGGAGGAGAGGAGGAGGCTTCCTGGGATGGCAGAGCTAGAGGTCAGGAGAAGGTGGCCCCAAGAGGGCTGGCCTTCACTCGAGGGTCAGCACAGGAAGTCTCATCCAGCCCCTGATAATGACTGTAATGCTAACAGCTACAATTCATTGTTTACTCTGTGCAGAGAAAATTGGGGCCGGCTTATCGTTAACTGGGCCATCTCTTTGGACCCTCCCAGTAGCTCTAGAAGGAGGGCATTCTTGACCGCCCCATCTTGCAGATAAGGAAATTCAGCCAAAAACAAAATGGCCTGTGCAAGGTCATAGAGCTAACAAGAAATGCAAAGCTAGGGCGAGGGCTTGTAATGAATGACAACACTGGAGCAGAGAGGTGCCTATGGGGGGGGAGGGGAGGGAGCAAAGGAGCCCCCAGGGGCTCCCCATCCACTCCGTGTGTAATCCAGCTATAAGTCTTACTCCTTGATGTTCAACCCCAGACAAGGCTGCAGCTGAGCCCACCTGCCACGGACCCAAAGCCCAACAGAGGCGTCCAGGGGGAGCGCACTGTTCCCTACAACTTCCATCAGCTTCCACAAACATCTCCAGCTAAACGTGGAAGAAAAATCGTGGTGTTCCTTACTATGCAGCTTCAAGCCAAGTCCTCCAGGGACCGACCGCCCCCCTCCCAAAACAGACCGCAACTCCGGAGCCCCCAGACGGGCCCACTAGGAGTCCTCTCGGTTGACGCAAGGGTTCTGGCAGATGAGACCTAAACGGAATGGGGAGGCAGGCCACGGATGAGAAACTGAGGCAGGGCCGCCCCGGGCGGGAGGAGGGGCGGGGGGAGGCCGGCTGTCTCGGCTGCTTGTTGACCCGGCGCTCTCCCTTCCCCCGCCCAATCTCCGCAGGACCCGGGTCGCCAGGCCTGGCTGGGAGCCGGTGGGAGGGAGGAGATGGTATGGCGGAGCTTGAGGGGTCTCACCCCACGGCCCGCGGTGGGGGTGCACGGCGCTCTGGCGTGCCCCAGCCCGTGCCCCCGGAGGTCTCCCAGCCGCTGGGGGGGGTGGGGGTGGGGGGGAGGAGATCTCTCCACCCCCGCACCCTCCGTCCCGGGGCGGGACCAGGGGGCGGAGCGGGCCGGTGACCGGCCGTGACGCGGGCCCCGCCCGCTCATATAGAGGCGCCCCGGGGGCGCAGGGCCCGTGCTTCGCCGCCGCCGCCGCAGCTCCCACATCAGCGCCGCCGCCGCCGCGTCCGCCATCAGCACCACCGCCATGCGGGAGATCGTGCACCTGCAGGCCGGCCAGTGCGGCAACCAGATCGGGGCCAAGGTGCGCGGGGGATGGGGCGCCGGAGGCGGCCGAGAGGAGCGGAGCGGGTCCACCAGCTCCGCAGAGCTTCCCCCACCTTGGGCCTTTCGGAGGGATGGGGTCCCCAAGGAGGCCAGCAGCCCAGGGACGGCTGGGGGAGGAGGGCAGGGGCAGGGCCAGGCTGGGAACAAAGAGGGCGATGGGGGTGGGGCCCAGCCTTCCGTCCGCTGGCCACAGCTGGCTTCACAGCTGGCCCACTGTCCTCTCCACACGCACAAAGAGACCCTGCCCCTCCCCGCGGCTGCAGCCTAGGCGAGCTGACACCAGCAGACTAGACTGAGGTGATGACTCTGCTCCACCCCGCCCCCACTTCTCCCTTCTTGCTGCCTCATCCCTGCCTCCCCACCATGCCTCTGGGTCCCCCATTCACCTTGCTGGGGGACAGGTAGCAGCTAGGGAGGTGGTGGGAGGTCGTGGGCGCAGAGAGGCAGGGACAGGCCTGGCCTCCTGTGTCCCCTCCCTCTGCCCTTAACCACCACCATCCCTCCAGTTTTGGGAGGTGATCAGTGATGAGCATGGCATCGACCCCACGGGCACATACCACGGGGACAGTGATCTGCAGCTGGAGAGAATCAACGTGTACTACAATGAGGCCACAGGTAGGGCTGGGCGTGGGGCACCTGCCGGAGTGGGGGTGGGGAGGGTGGGAGGGAGCAGGATGCTGGTTCCTGGCACTCCCGCACCCCAGCTGCCCTCCATCTGCTTCCCTGAAGGAGGAAATTACGTTCCCAGAGCCGTGCTGGTGGACCTGGAGCCTGGCACCATGGACTCTGTCCGCTCTGGCCCCTTCGGCCAGATCTTTCGGCCTGACAACTTTGTGTTTGGTGAGTTCTAAGCATGGGAAGCCCCCTTGTTCCTTCACTTCCAAATGCTTGGTGAAAAGTCTCCACATAGCATGGGAGACTCCGTGGTAATCACAGGGACCCACGGCCCAGTGGGGGAGGCGGACAGGGCAGGCAGGGCTGTGACGCGGGACACACAGGCCACTGTGGGAGCCCAGGACAGACATCTGATATGGGGGAGGGTGTAGAGAAGCCTTCCTGGAGGAGGTGGCATTTTAATTTAACAGTATGGACCAGAGCCAGACTGCCTGGGTGAAAATACCAGCTTTGCCATTTCATGCATTCCACAAATAACGTATTGAGCACCTACCGCATGCCAGGTCCTACTCTTACCCCCAGATGGACAAAGCAGACGAAACTCACTACCCCACTGGACCCAACCTCCTGGTGGAGGGAGATGGGCAACAGAGAAGATAAATAAGTAAAACTCAGCCACTGACTGAGTCAGCTGGAGGACTTTAGCTGGGCTCTTTAATCTCTCTGTGCCCCAGTCTCCAAATCTTTAAAACAAGGGTTATAAAAAGACCTACTCATCAGGAGCGAGAGGCTTAAAGCCATTAATATGCGTAAAGCACTTAGAACAATGCCTCACAGAGAGCAAAAGGTAAATAAGCATGTGTTGTTTTCATCGTCATCATCAATATCTGCAGTCTAAAATATGAGTAGGACCCAGGCTGACCAAGAGGCACTGAAGAGAGGAAAGATGTACAAGACAGAGGGAACAGCAAATGAAGACAACAGACACATTTGCGGCACCCAGGTTCAAGGAGCAAGCACACTCTGTGAACATCTTTCTCTGAAACCTTTTCCAGTGCCTCCTAGGTCAGGCTGGCTGCATACGCCCACCTGGCCTCAGACCCCAAGCTCCACCCTCTTCCCCAGCACCCCGGGCACCTCTCTTCCCCAGAGCAGGTTTATGGAGTCTGAAGTCTAGGCATTGACACGACAAGCTGTGTGACCTTGGACAGCGACTTCCCCTCTCTGGTCTGTGTGATGATTCAGCAAGATAATGATGCTCCTGCGTGGGTATGGCATACAATAATACGTCCTCAGGGTCTGGCTGTGGAAGGACTAAATAATGTTGGCCAAAGGGTGTGAGGGATTCTAGGATGACCATGGATGGCTCCACTGGGGCCAAGAGATTCTATGGCCCCTGGGAGAGAGGGTGGGGGAGGCAGTGGTAAAAGTGTGGAGTCAGGAGCCAGCGTGCCTGGCAATCCTGTTTTCTCTGAGGCGGTGACATGGCACAGAGACCTGAAGGAAGAGTCAACTGTGTGAATACCTGGGGGGAAGGGCATCCCAGGCAGCATCGCATGAACAGCAGGTGCAAAGGTCCTGGGGCGGCATCAGGCCTGGTGTGCCAGAGAAACAGCGAGGAGGTCTGTGTGGCCAGAGCAGATTGAGCAAGGGGGAGAGAGGGAGGAGGCGAGTGCAGGGAGGTGACAGGGTGGGGGCAGGTTATTCAGGGCCCTGTGGGCTGCAGGGAGGACTTGGGCGTGTATCTTGAGGGGGTGGGAGCCCTGGAGGGTTTTGGTTAGCCGGGTAGGACCTGACTCAGGTGCTCACAGGCGCCCTCTGGCTGCTTGGAGGAGAACAGACTTTGGGGGTATAGGATGGAGATGAGGGTGGGAACCAGTCCAGGACAGGGTTGATGAGATCAGACCAGGGTGGAGTCAGAGGAGGGGATGAGAAATGTTACCTTTTCGTCAAAATACCAGCCCCTATTCTAATAGTAATCCTTGTCCTCCTGGAGCTCTCACACTTCCCTGTAAGATTGCAGACAATAAACATGATTAATAAGACAGCATAGGTTTGTCAGTGTTTTGGGGGAAAAAATAATAAGCAAGGAAGAGGAATAAAAAATGGGAACGGTTGCAGTTGTATATAGCGTGATCAGGGAGAGCATCACTGAGGGCGACAAAGCCCTTGAGGCGGTGAGAGAGTCACGTGGGTATCTGCGGGGGGGGGGGGGGGAGAGCATTTCAGGCCGAGGGAATGCATGCGCAAAGGCCCCGGGGCAGGACTGTGCCTGGTGTATTGGAGCAACAGCAAGGAGGACCCTGTGGCTGGAGCAGAGTGAGCCAGAGCAGGGAGAGAGGAGGTGAGGGCAGGGGGTTGGAAGTGGCAGGTCCTGCAGGGCCTTGCAGGCTGAGGGGAGGACTTGGGCTTTTACCCAAAGATGGAGCTGGTTTTTGAGCTAAAGCAGGATGGCTCTGAGCCAAAGTGGGGCATGAATCGATTCCGGTTTCACCAGAATCCCTCTGGGCTGCTGGATGAAGAGAAGCAAATATGGAAGCAGAGAGAAGGACTAACAACGACACTGATGAAATAACAATTTCGTTATTCAACTGCTAGGATGGCCGGGGTGGCGTTGAGGGCGAGCCCTCCCCGTAACCGCCCGGCATGCCCCCTCCCCTCCCCTCCCCTCCGCAGGCCAGTCGGGAGCCGGCAACAACTGGGCCAAGGGCCATTACACGGAGGGCGCCGAGCTGGTGGACGCCGTCCTGGATGTGGTCCGGAAGGAGGCCGAGAGCTGTGACTGCCTGCAGGGCTTCCAGCTGACCCACTCGCTGGGCGGGGGCACGGGCTCGGGCATGGGCACGCTGCTCATCAGCAAGATCCGCGAGGAGTTCCCGGACCGGATCATGAACACCTTCAGCGTGGTGCCGTCGCCCAAGGTGTCGGACACGGTGGTCGAGCCCTACAACGCCACCCTGTCCGTGCACCAGCTGGTGGAGAACACGGACGAGACGTACTGCATCGACAACGAGGCCCTGTACGACATCTGCTTCCGCACCCTGAAACTGACCACGCCCACGTACGGCGACCTCAACCACCTGGTGTCGGCCACCATGAGCGGCGTCACCACCTGCCTGCGCTTCCCCGGCCAGCTGAACGCCGACCTGCGCAAGCTGGCCGTGAACATGGTGCCCTTCCCGCGCCTGCACTTCTTCATGCCCGGCTTCGCGCCGCTCACCAGCCGCGGCAGCCAGCAGTACCGCGCGCTCACCGTGCCCGAGCTCACGCAGCAGATGTTCGACGCCAAGAACATGATGGCCGCCTGCGACCCGCGCCACGGCCGCTACCTGACCGTGGCCGCCGTGTTCCGCGGCCGCATGTCCATGAAGGAGGTGGACGAGCAGATGCTGAGCGTGCAGAGCAAGAACAGCAGCTACTTCGTCGAGTGGATCCCCAACAACGTGAAGACGGCCGTGTGCGACATCCCGCCCCGGGGGCTCAAGATGGCCGCCACCTTCATCGGCAACAGCACGGCCATCCAGGAGCTGTTCAAGCGCATCTCGGAGCAGTTCACCGCCATGTTCCGGCGCAAGGCCTTCCTCCACTGGTACACGGGCGAGGGCATGGACGAGATGGAGTTCACCGAGGCCGAGAGCAACATGAACGACCTGGTGTCCGAGTACCAGCAGTACCAGGACGCCACGGCCGAGGAGGGCGAGTTCGAGGAGGAGGCCGAGGAGGAGGTGGCCTAGGGCGGCCCGCCAGGCCAACGCCGCCCCCACGAACCTCGCTGCTTCGGCTCGAGGAGGGGGGGGGGGCAGCTCACCTCTGACCCGTGAGCCTCGCTTCACCTTGAGCTCCAGGAGCCTTCCCTCACCCCGACCTCTCCTTCACCTCTGACCTCCCCCACGAACCCCACTGTGCCCCCAGACCTAGGAGTCCTAGTTTACTGTGGACCCCTCCTGCTGAGCTTCCCCTCGCCTCTGACCTGGCCTCACCTTTGACACCAAGAGCCCTTCTTCCCCTCTTCTCTCTGCCTTATCTCTGGCTCCCCTGGGCGCCCCTCCCCTTTCTTCCCCCCAACTCCCGCCCCTCAGCTCTTGCCAACCTCCTTTAGGTGGGGGAGGGCTCCCTCTGCTGCAGCCTGGGAGCATGTGAGCCAAGGGCGCTGTGCCCTCAAGCCTCCCCGCCCCCCTCTCCTCTGCTTCACCTGCAATAAACTCGTCCTGCCCTGTTTCTGCCCAGTGCATTTTTCATCTCCCTGCGGGAGGGTCAGCAAGTGAGCCTTCTGGGATGGGATGGAAGTGGGTGGGGAAGGGGCATCT